TCTCCTCCTCACTCTCCTCCTCACTCTCCTCCTCACTCTCCTCTTCACTCTCCTCTTCACATCTTCTCTTTTCTCTCCCCTTTTCTTTCCTCCCTGGTGCTGCTCTGCAGCCTCCCTTCCTGACCAATAAAGACCTTTCATACAAGCAAAAATAATAATAATAAAAATAAATAAATAAATAAATAAATAAGCGCAACATGGTGGCCTGTGCCTATAGTCCCTGATTGTGCCACTGCACTCTATCATGGGCAACAAAGCAAGACCATGTCTTAAAAAGAAGATTGAAATGGAAAATTTTATGTCATATATTTTATCACAATAGAAAAGTGCTGAATAAATCAATAAATAATCCTAACCCAAAAGAATAAAATTATGGGAAATAGGGCCTGTCCTGGAAAACCTAAGATCTATGAATATCATTTATACAAAGCCAATCCCTGAATAAGGCATTTGTGGAAAATGAGCCTCTGCTCTCTCATCTCTTTGTGTGGTATCAAGGTCATTGTTTAAACCCTGGCTGGCAGCTTGGTGCCTGTGGCTCAAGCGGCTAAGGCACCAGCCACATACACCTGAGCTGGCAGGTTTGAATCCAGCCCAGGCCCACCAAACAACAATGACAGCTGCAACCAAAAAATAGCCAGGCATTGTGGCAGGTGCTTGTAGTCCTAGCTACATGGTGCTTGTAGTCCTAGCAGAGGCAGGAGAATTGCTTGAGCCCAGGAGTTGGAGGTTGCTGTGAGCTGTGATGCCACAGCACTCAAAGGTGACAACTTGAGGCTCTGTCTCAGAAATAAATAAATAAATAAATAAATCCTGGCTGGCTTATAGCATTCATGTCTCTTTCCATCAATACCAGGTCACACCCAGGAGGATAGCAGCTCAGACTCCCAGGCACTTCCTGGCTGTGTGACCTTGGACAAGTTATTTAACCTCTCTAGACCTCTACCTCCTTATCTGCAAAATGGGGATAATAATAACACCTGCTGTAAGTGGGTTGTGGTGAGAATTAAATGAGAAAATCCACTTTGCACTTTTATCTCATGGCCTGGCACATAGTAACTGCTCAGTCAACTGGAGCTACAAATTTAAAAACCTGTTGGTGGTCAGGCATGATGGTTCATGCCTGTAATCCTAGCACTCTGGAAAGTTAAGGCAGGAAGAAGCCTTGAACTCAGGAGTTTGAGAACAGCCTGAGCAAGACTAAGACCCTGTCTCTACTAAAAATAGAGAAACTAACTGGGTGCATGCCTATAGTCCCAGCTATAGGAGGGTGAAGCAAGAGGATTGCTTGGGCCCAGGGGTTTGAGGTTGTTGTGAGCCTGGCTGATGACATGGAACTCTAGCTGGGGGCAACAGAGTGAGACTCTGTCTCACACACACAAAAAGATAAAATAAAATAAATAATAAAAGCCTGTTGGTGGCAAAGAGAGTGGTGAAGCCCCTTCTCCTCATGGAGACCCAGGAGCACACTAGGCCTGGACCCCAACATCCGAAGAGTTGAGCAGGGAAGGGGGGTTGAGTCGCCTAGCTTAAAGGAACAGAACAAGCGAGCCACACACTTCTGGGGGTCCCTCAAGCCCTCAGTAGGCTTCTCTGGCTGCCCAGAGAAGAGATATCCACTTTGAAAAATGAACCAAAGCCAAATATAACTAGGGAGGGAGTCTGACAGAAAAAAAAAAAAATCTGTGAGGGAGCGACATTCTGGGCCAAATTGGAAAGAGTTTGCAACTATCCGTGAAAGAATGCAAAGTCCTCTTGTTATGATAATGACAACGGTTTTTAGTCACCTTCAGCAGAGTAGATAATTGACTCTCTGCAGCCTGCCTCATTTCTCTGTCACTGCTGGGGAATGAGGTGTTTTAAGTGAATTTTCTAGATAACCGAAGCTTATCCCTGTGAACCCTAACATTTTTTTTTTCATTTAATCACTCTGGGGGGAAATTTCTCTGGAATGAATTACACACTTCTCTGCTTCCTTAATCAAAATATTCTAAATTGAATGTAACCTCTTCCTGTCAATTTGGATACCAGGGGCTATTTGCCCTTATATTAATGGCTTCAAGTCGCTTTGCTTTTTTTTCGTCAACAGATGTTTTCTATCTATTTCCATGGTTTACTACGATGACACGGAGCTCTCGCCACATATTTTCAGGAGCCCCACAAAACTTGCAGACGCAAATATATAAATGTATGTATACACACACACACACCACTCATCTATGGTGTGAGCAACCAGAGTGCCAGGCTTAATAGAATTGTGTTTACGTGTGCTTCTACAATGTCCTGAACCACACTTATTCTATAATAGCACTCCGTGTACCACGAATGCTGTGTCAGGTGTTTTTGCCACTACTGGACTAGACATTAAACGCTCTAGGAGGGCAGGACACTTTCCAGCACCAGTGGGTGCTTGGTAAATGTTTGTTGAATGGACAAGAGGAAGAATGAAAGCATCCATTCTTTATGGGTGGGCTTTATGACAATATTCTGCCTTCCTTATCACAGGCATACTTTTGCTTTCTGCTGGGTTTGGCTGTGCCAGAAAGAAAGGAAGTCTCCTGATAAGTAAAGCCTAACTGTATGCTATGGGATGCACCAAGGACAAACTGGCTTTGGACTCCGGCAGAGTCCAAAGGTATCTGGCTTTGGACTTCATACAGAGCCAAGGTCTTAGGGCAGTTATGGTGATCCCAACTAGTGAAGGGAATCCTTTATTCTGGATCCCGAGGTTGTTCACAGTGATGAGCAGAGACGAAGGGGCCAGTCCCTGCTGTATACCTGATCTTTGCTTTGCAGCCATCACCTGTCCCCAATGCTATCTCTAAGTGTCACTCTTACAATCATCCTCTAGAAAGCATCCTGTGTACCTCCAGTGGAGAGAGCTGTAACAGAAGACCTGGGCCTGCCATTGCTGTAACTTTGGGCGATCACTTAATGGTGACCCTTTATTTCACCATCTGTAAAATGGGAGAAATACTAAAACCTAACTCACAGGTTTGTTGTGAGGATTACATTTTAGTAATAAATGTAAAATTTCTAGGATGGTGCTGGGCACTGAGGAAGCATTTAAAATATGGTGGCATTATTATTATAAGGGAATCACACCATATGTACATTAAACTTAGGAGAATTCAAACCATGTGCTTGGCAACAGAAAGAACTGTTTAAATATGTGAATATTTGGGGACAGATGAAGAAGGATGAAGCAAGATAGGGTGAGGGGGATTCCAGGCCTTCATGGTTCCGTCTACTAAAGGATTATGGGCAGCCTCCATGTCACTGACCACTTGACTCTGGTCAGCAAGTGGATGGACATATGGGGGACTGATGGGGTTGGTGGAGTGATCCTTCCACCAAACCAAAGATCCCGTGTACTCACTGGCCACCCTAGAACCTTGTACTCCATACACGCCCCATACTTGAGCACCACTGTATCTTTGCTCATATTGAACCTGCCCCAACAAGACCTTCCCAGTCCCACTCACCTGCTCCCGGTCCTCTCTGAGTGTCAAACCCTAGAAACCTGGAGCACAAAGATCAGCTGATGATCCCCATGTCTTCAGGCAGTAGGGTGACTGAGGGATTTCCCAGAATGTGTGATTTTCAGTGCTGACAGCAACACGGATGGCGGGTCACCTTACTGGGCAGACAAGAAAGACATCTTTTACAGCCTATTTAGGACACTTCTAGAAATCCTTGCCTGATGTTCTTAGCTGGGAACTATCTTTTTCTCACAGAACTTTTCTTTTTTTTTTTTTTTTTTTTGAGACAGAGCCTCAAGCTGTCCCCCTGGGTAGAGTGCCGTGGCACTATAGCTCACAGCAACCTCCAACTCCTGGGCTCAAGCGAGTCTCCTGCCTCCGCCTCCCAAGTAGCTGGGACCGCAGGCGCCCACCACAACACCAGGCTATTTTTTGGTTGCAGCCGTCATTGTTGTTTGGCGGGTCCGGGCTGGGGATTCGAACCCGCCACCTTAGGTGTACGTGGCTGGCGCCTTAGCCGGTTGAGCTATAGGCGCCGAGCCACTCTCATAGAACTTTTCCTAGAACATTATTTCTGCTTGTCCAAGCCTGAATTCCACACTCCACTCCCACCCCAGAACTGGAATGAATGAGGGTATAGTCTGAGGGTACAGTCTGTGTCCTGTATGCACCAAGTGACGGTCAGAGTGGGAGGTGGCAGCAGGCCGGGTGACTACCCTGGGCTCTGCCATTCAGCCGGTTTCCACAGCTGCAGAGTGATTGGCTCAACTATCACTCTTTGAAACATTTAATTACATGTAAAGGTCTTGAAGGCTGTCTGTTACCTCCCAGGGAAGCATTTCATTTTCCTGCTCCTTCTAAAGCTGGCTGCTTGGAAAATAATGAAATTGAACTGAAGATGAAGCAACCAGGGGAGAAGGCATTACTGAAAGGGAGAAGAAGCATGAGAGAGAGATGAAAAGGTTGACAGGGAGATGGAGCCAGGGGAGGGGCAGCCAGTTACAGGAAATGTTGTTAGGGAGTGAGATCAAAGAAGCCAGAAAACCAACAAGGAGAAGAAAAAGAAGGGGGAAAGAAAGATAGGGAAGTGCTGGGCTGGGAGGCACCACGAAGAGGGGCAGTGTAAAGAAAGGGCCTGGGTGATTGGAAAATAGAGCCAAGGAGGAGTTCAGCAATGACAGAGGGAGGTAAACAGCTTGTTACTCCAGAATTTCAATACAGGAATTGGGGCTTTGCGGGCAGCCATTTGGATGGAAAGAATGGACCCGACTGTGAGATTTGCGTTCTGAATCTGCGTGGAGGAAACAAGCCCTCTGCCCTTCTTAGCTGGTATGGCTTGGTGGGAGAACTCTTGTGGGCTATAAGGCGCCAAAGCTTCTACCCAGATACCACGTACGGCCTCCTATCCAGGGAGGAGCGATGCAGAGGGAAGGCCTCACAAGGGAAGGCCCTGTGAGCATCGGTTCCGGGCCGTCCTCCGCAGGGCCCCTCAGCCCTGACCCATTCTCTCTCTTGCAGGCTGCGACAGCGACCACTGGGGCCCCCACTGCAGCAACCGGTGCCAATGCCAGAACGGCGCCCTGTGCAACCCCATCACCGGCGCCTGCGTGTGTGCCGCCGGCTTCCGTGGGTGGCGCTGCGAGGAGCTGTGCTCACCCGGCACCCACGGCAAGGGCTGCCAGCTGCAGTGCCAGTGCCGCCACGGCGCCGGCTGTGACCCGCGTACCGGCGAGTGCCTCTGCGCGCCTGGCTACACCGGAGTCTAGTGAGTAACGCGGGGGCGGGGCCTGGAGGGCGGGGCTGGGTGGGGTCGGGGTGGGCGGGGGCTGGAGGGCGGGACCTGGACAGCTGTCCTCACCACAGCTGCGCGGCTGCGCCCGGGATCCTTGGGGTAGGAAGGACCGGGCTGGAGGCAAGGTCAGGATAATCCTGACGGTGAAACCTCCTGGGATCTGACCCCAAGTTCTGTAAAGTTTAAGTGTCTGGGCCTCACCCAGTCTGGTCTCAGATACTCGCCATGTAGGCCTACGGGTGACTGGTCATTCCTGAGAGTGTACACGGGTGGGCGCCCCGTGACCAGAGGCCATTAAACTTCTCCCTTCCTGGTAGGGGCAGACCTCAGCTTGCAATTCCCTTCTGACCGTAACCCATCTGCTGCTTTCCACCTGGGGCCTTCCCTTCCAGGCATTTGGGACATGGAGAAGGGAGAGAGCAGTTACGTATGCAGATTTGGCGGGTTTCTGTGCCAGCTCCTCTCCCCTACTTTCTCTCCATAGACCCCCAAACAACCCCTCATTCTAGTTCTCATATTGACAGGGGACCTCCAAGGCTGCTTAGTTGAGATCTCCTCAGAGGCAAGATTGAAGTTCCCGTCCAACCCTGGTGCAGGCTCTAGGTCCTGAGGGGGAAACCAAGGATTCTGACCACCTTGATTGAACGTGGTCCCTGCCCTACCTTCTGGCCACCTCCCAGGACCTAGTGAGCTGGAGGAACACCCCAGCTCAAGTCTCCATGCAAATCCTCCCCCACACCTCAGCAGCAGTCCTGGCACTGGGGCCTGTTTTGGTTGCTGGGTACCTTCCAGGGCCTGGAAGGGACATGCTCCAGACACCCCCCTCTGTGAAGCTGGGCACATACCTGAAGGCAGGATCGGTGGCCATTTCTCTGAGCCTTTGCTCGTGCCATCCCTTCTGCCTGGCATTGTCTTTCTTCCATTCTCTTGGTGGAATTAACTTCACCTTTAAGGCCCAAGTCAAGTGTCTTCCTCTTACGGGAGACTTCATCAGCATCCCCCCCACACACACACCCCGAGGAAAAATACTCTTTTTTACACAAATAACATTAAAGTCATCCCACAAGTATTGATCCAAGCTCACTACATTCCAGTGTATTAAAACTGAGCCTGTTTCCCCTTCCTGGCAGAGAGCAGCACTGCATCTTAGCTGGTTACACCTGGTACGGTTCACACTGGCTGTGAGCTCACCAATTCCTAGGGAGGCCTGGAGCATCGGGACAGGCAGCAGTGGGGCCCTGCCACCTAACCTACATGCTGCCATGTCTAATGCCTCTGTTTCTCCATGCAGCTGTGAGGAGTTGTGCCCTCCAGGCAGTCATGGTGCTCACTGTGAGCTGCGCTGCCCCTGCCAGAATGGGGGCACCTGCCACCACATCACTGGCGAGTGTGCCTGCCCTCCAGGATGGATGGTAGGTGGGCACTCAGGGACTGGGTGGGGCACTGTAAGAGGTCTGAGCTTCCCTGACTCCTACACACCTTGAAAGGCTGAATTCCTGAATTTCCACCTGAATACTCTCCCTCCTATTTATAGTCAAAGGGCATCAGTACACACTGCCAGTGGTGCCAGGAACACAGTTTTAAATTCCAGGTCTGCCATATCTAAGTGCTGTGGTCTGAGGCAAACTAGTTAACCTCTCTGATCTTGTGATCCTTCATGTGCAAAGGAGCTGAATTCTTCTCATAAGACGAGCCCTTTCTTTGGACATAGGTACCCACATTATTGCCGTGGGCTCTGGGGAAGATGTAACAGAAAGGGCTGGAGAAGGAGAAACAGCAGGTATAGATTACCTGAATTTATATAATTTCATTCCCTACACTCACGCACCTACTCTGATTCTGTGGGCCCCAGAATCTGTAATTTTTTTTTTTGAGATAGTCTGAGGTTGTTACCCTCAATAGAGTGCTATGGTGTCATAACTCACAGCAATTCAAACTCTTGGGTTCAAGTGACTGTCTTGCCTTAGCCTCCCAAGTAGCTGGGACTATAGGCATCCACTACAATGCCTAGCTATTTTTCAGAGATAGGGTCTTGCTCTTGCTCAGGCTGGTCTCAAACTCCTAAGCTCAAGCAATTCACCCTCCTAGGCCTCCCAGAGTGCTGGGATTACAGGGTGAGCCACTGCACCCAGCTGCAGAATCTATTTTAACAAGTGTACCAGGTGATTCTGATGCAGGCTTCCACCAACCCAGGTCTCATGTCTGGGAAAAACCATTACAAGAAACGTGAATAGGATTTATAGTCTCACAGCCCTAAATTCAGGTCTCAGATCCAGAGTTGACCCTGAAAAAAAGCTTTAATTCTTCTGCTTCCCCATCCACAAAACTGACTTAACCACAGTGGGCCCTGCCCTGCACAGCCATGGTGGTTGCTGGCTGGCTCAGGAGAGGCTGTGCATACCCAAAGTGCTTTGCAAACTCTGAAGCACTCTACGATTGCTTATTTTACATCCCTGGGTGCCACAGACTCTCCACAAGCCTCCTTTCAGCCAACATGCTCTGCCTGTCAGTGCCTTCCCTGAGGACCAAAGCCCTCAGAAGCGGTGAGTTTGTGGCTGACTTACCTAGGCTACATCCCTGTGTGTCACTCTCCCCATTCAGAGGAAGCTCAGTGACATGGCTGGCCACCTTTCCTGGGGTCTGACAGACAGGTGAGGGATGCTGAGCAGAAACAGGATATTTCAGGAGGCTGTGAAGGAGGAGGTCATGGGGGGCAGACAGGAGGGGGATCATGGATACAGACACAGGCTGGTCAGAATGTCTTAGGGTAGGAAAGTTTGGAGATCATTTGGTTCAGCAGCATCCAGACTAGAGTGGGCAAGGGATGGGGTGTTAAATACAGATTTCCAGATTCTATCTAAGACTTTCTGGTACCCAAGAATCTCTATTTTTAATATGCTCCCCAGATGATTCTGAAGCAACCAGCACTGTCTGCAGGTTTGCATTTGGAAATAATTGATCTAGACCATAGGATTTCCTTGTGTTTTGCAGAACCCTACAGTATCTTGAGGGAAGGTGAGGATGGGGAGCCTAATAATTAGGAATTTGCCTCTTACCTACTCCCACCTGGCCATTTGAATCTATTTTCTATTTTGAACTTCTAGGTAAGATGTAACATACAAACAGGGTCTTCCAGCTTTAAGAAGTTTGAACATCATGGTCAACACCTTCCCTTTGGGGATGAGGAATCTGAGCTCACAGAGGGCAAATGACCTGCTCAAGGCCATGCTGCTGGTTAGGAGTGAGGTGGAGCTAGAATCCAGGTCTCCTGGCTCCTGCATCCCAGCCATTAGTGTCTGTCTGTCTTGTCCCTTCCGAAGAGGAAGAAAAGGCTGCCACCTCCTCTCCCATACCTGCCACATTCTCCCAGCCTGAACCAAGTTCCTCTCATCTCCAGCCAGCTTCCAGAAGTCCACCACCCCACCCAGTGGGCTGGGTCCTCAGAGGCCCAGCAGCAGGCAGAGAGGTTGGACCAGGATGTGGTGGGTAGAACAAGGTGACAGACAGGCCCTGTACCTCTAAAGGGCTTTCTAGAGAGACTGTGGAGGCTGGTGGTCAAAGACAGGGAGCGAGGAAGCCAATCCATCAAGGGATTTTTAGTCTCCCCAATATAGTGAGAGATTTCTTCATCCAGATGACAGGAAACTCTGTCCGTAGAAACCTTTGGATTTGAGGACTTTATGTTTTTAATTTTATTGTAGACAATTGCATTTCTATTTTTGACAGCATTTAACTTGCAGATTTGTATGAATTATTAATACACCTTGTGCATGCAGAGTCACAGTATAATGATCTGCAGCTCAGGCCTGAGGCTCCTCCCAGGGAAAGCTGGAGCCAGGGAAAAGATACTGGGGGGAAGGCTCCCCCCTTAGCATTTCTATGGCCTGACTTTCCCATTGGCCTGATGTGGTTTCAACAATTGCACTTCCCAACTGGGAGAGATAAAGATTGCTAACTCCCACCAAGCACCTCCCAGGAGGACTAGGGAGGAGCTGGCAGGAACTCTGGCCCTCCAGGCCCCTCCTCAGGCCCTGAGAAGGCCCACTGTTTGTCTGGCTCTCGAGAGCCTATTTCAGGAGGGGATTTTGCAGAGAGCTGGAGAAAGAATTATTTCTCCCTTTTTTCTGGGTTCTGAGACCTTGCAAAGCAAAGAAACCAGGTGTGAGTATGTGATGAGTGTGGGAAGTAGACAGATGGGGAGGTAAGAGTAGAAGTGACTCAGCCGGGCAGCGCCTGTGGCTCAAAGGAGTAGGGCGCCAGCACCATACGCCGGAGGTGGTGGGTTCAAACCCAGCCCTGGCCAAAAACTGCAAAAAAAAAGTGACTGAGCCCCTTAGGAGCTCACAGTCTGATTGTGTGTGTGTCTGTGTGTGTGCACGTGTGCGTGTGCATGCACACACACACAACAGAAACAGGCCAGGCTCAAGAGAAAGGGGGCTGAGGAGCTGGGAAAGAGGACCAGGTATCATGCAAGGCCAAAGAGGTTATTGAAGCTGAGGTCATAGCATCACAGATGCTGAAGCTTAGGAAGAATGATTCATGGAGCCCCATTCCCTGGCTGGTGACCTGGCTCACTCCACAGCACCCGCACCACCTGCCCATTGAGGGTGCCCATGCCAGCCCAGGATAGCAATCATTAGTAATGCCTTCTGATGCCTGGAGAGGCCAAGTTGTCTCTTGAGGAGAATAGGCCTGGCCTTAAGACTTTTCACCGTCTCAGCCCCTTCCTTTTTTATGTTCTGCTTAGCTGTGGTCCTCTTAAAGTAGAGCTGATTTCCAGATTTTGACAAAACCCTCTAGTCTAACCAGTTCTGAAATGAGAAGGACTATTGCCTCACTCCACATCCAACTTTCTAGCTGCTGCAATAGCCTGAAATCCCACTGCAGCTGGAGACACTCAGTTGACCACAGGGCGGGTGTGTTTGTCCATTAGGGCCTGCCCTAACAAAGTACCCCAGATGAGGTGGCTTAAACACAGAATCTATTTTCTCACAGTTCCAGAGGCTGGAACTCCAAGATCAAGATGTCGGCTGAGTTGGCGTCTTCTGGGCTCTCTCCTTGGGTTGTAGATGGCCTTCTCTCCCTGTGTCTTCACTTGATCTTCCCTTTGTGTGTCTGTCTTCATCCCCTCTTCTTGTAAGGATGTGAGTCACATTGGATTAGAGCCCCTTATGTGACCTCATTTTATCTCAATTACCTATGTAAAGGCTTTGTCTGTAAATACGATCACTTTCTGAGGGGCTGGGGCTGAAAACTTTAATATGAATTTTGAGGAGACACAATTCAGCTTATAAGAGCAGCAGAGAAACTTTAAGACGACAGCCCTCTCTTAAGCTGACCCCTTCCTACCTGCTCTCTCTTCCTCCCTCTCCCAAAAGGCTGTTCTTCCTACCAGCAGTCACTGATGAGTCATATGGCCCTTCCTCCTCTCTCAGTCCCAGGTTGTACTGGGCTCCTGGCCTGTGCCACCTCAGCAGGGGTCATCTGGGTTCAGTTACTATTAAGTGCCCACTCTTTAAGGCTCTATACTTTGTACCTTCATATCTCTAATCTCACTTAATCTTTGTAACCACTTGGGAGAACAGGGGTTGCCCCTCCCACTTTATAGGCAGAGAACTGAAGCTCAAAAGGATCACATGACTTAACCTAGTTCAGCTGTCTGGGAGGCAGAGCTGGGCCCAAGTTCTGACTTTGGGTCAGTGTTCCACCACCCCAGGCAGGAAGTCCCAGGAGCTCAAGATGCAGGCGAAGCCTAGAGATTCAAGGGCCCTGGGTCCTGCAATGTGGGAGTCCTGAGCAGGGGTTGAAGGAGGCACTTGCCCACTTGACCAAAAACACCTCAGGTGCCTGATTCTCTTGGAGAATGTTGGAAGGAAGAACTCTTTGCACCAGGCATCCTACTGGCCACCTTGGGGGCCTGCCTGGTTGTGTCTCAGAAGCACTAAAAAGAATAGGAACCTGCCGCCTGTCACATCAGCTGGGGTGTATGTGTGTGTGTGTATAAGTGCAGGAGAGAGCCATACTGCTTGAGGATAGGAGAGCAGGGCATAAGCACAGCCCCCTAAGTTGGCTTAAAATGTTTTTTCAGGGCTCGGCACCTATAGCTCAACCGGCTAAGGCGCCAGCCACATACACCTAAGGTGGCGGGTTCGAATCCCCAGCCCGGACCCGCCAAACAACAATGACGGCTGCAACCAAAAAACAGCCGGGCGTTGTGGCGGGCACCTGTGGTCCCAGCTACTTGGGAGGCGGAGGCAGGAGACTCGCTTGAGCCCAGGAGTTGGAGGTTGCTGTGAGCTGTAATGCCACGGCACTCTACCCAGGGGGACAGCTTGAGGCTCTGTCTCAAAAAAAAAAAAAAAAAAAAAATGTTTTTTCAGGATTAGAGTATCCATATCCAACCCAGGACTATAGAGAACTGAGTCAGAAGCCAGAGAGACTCCCCTCCTCCCTCATAGATCCCTAAAGCTCTTGGGGTACACTGAGAAAGCAAGCCCCTGCCTTGCCCAGGGCATCCCCCACCACCTCCAGGGGGAGAAGGGACCCCTGCCACTCTTCTCACATACACACTCGTGTCACTGTCCTTACTGCCTGTTAGCTCCTCACATCTGACTTAAGCATGGAGGAGAAATCTGGGCTTAAAGGCCTCCTGTTTAACTCATTACTGGTAAATTGGGTGATTTTGAAAGATGACTCTGGTCTGGCAGAATTTTCCTAAATAAACTAGCTTCCTCAGGGTTGGTTATTATTGGTACTTAAAATAATTATGTATTAAACTCATTGATTAATTAATTGGGGGCTTCTCCTTGATCTCCCTAAAGTGTGTGAAAGGCTGGAAAGGCAGCAGGAGGCTCAGATTTCTGTTCGATAGAGACCTAAGATTCAGATGTGGAATTTTAAATTACATTATACCACAAGGCTAATACTGGGGTGATATTACAAATTCCCTCACAAATTCTGCTCCCTGAAAGCAACCACTTTCAGATATTTTAGGTGTTTCTTCTGGCCTTTCCCTCCACTTTTCTACATAATGTGCTTTACTGCCATTTCTTCACTTTTCTATTTTAGACTTTTCCAAACAGACTCCATTTGTTGAGTCCGTTGACTTCCTGCCAGAGAGTAAGATTCAGCTCTATAATATACTCGCAAACTCAAGCAACTCTTCTTTCACCCTGCCCATGGAATTATGTTACAACTTTTTATTAAATCCTTTTGAAAAATTTTTTTTTTGGAGAGGGGGTCTTGATAGGTGGCTCAGGCTATGTGCAGGGCTATTCACAGGCACAATCAGGGCACAACTGCAATCTGGAACTTCTGCGCTCAAGTTATCCTGTCACCTTAGCCTTGTAAACTATTGTATCAGGTGCACACACTATGCCCAATTTGGTTAAATCTTTTTTTTTTGAGACAGAGTCTCACTCTGTTGCTCAGGCTAGAGTACCTTGGTGTCTGGTGTCAGCATACTTCACTGCAACCTCAAACTCTTGGGCTTAAGCAATCTTTCTGCCTCAGCCCCCCAACTAGCTGGGACTATAGGTGCCCACCACAACACCCAGCTAGTTTTTCTATTCTTAGTAGAAGTGAGGTCTTGATATTGCTCAGGCTGGTCTTGACCCCCTCAGCTCAACGGATCCTCCCACCTTGGCTTCCCAGAGTGCTAGGATTATAGGCATGAGCTATAACACCCAGCTGGTTAAATATTTTTGTTGTTTTTTTGTTGCAGTTTGGCTGGGGCCGGGTTTGCACCTGCCACCCTCAATATATGGCGCTGGTGCCCTACTCACTGAGCCACAGGCGCCGCCCTGGTTAAATCATTTTTTAATGTTTATGTTAATATGCCCACATAGGTATTATTACTAATTTAACCCTAAGACTCTGACAGAACTCTAAAACTTCTCTCAATAAGTTCAGACATATCTGAAATCTGTTAGTTTTTCACTTTTGTTTTTGGGCAGCATTCTCAGCAGCCTCCATGCTTCTGTTCCAGTTGGCCTCTTTGCTCCCCAGGACTGCTGCATAGTTGTCATCTGGGACTTCCTTTAACTGCCATCCTGGGATTCCTTTCTCTTTTCTGTTGGATTCCCTAGATCCTGGAACCCATGTATTTCTTTTTCTGGGTAACATTTTTTTTTCTTGAGACAGAGCTTCACTTTGTCACCCTGGGTAGAGTGCTGTGGCATCATACTCACAGCAACCTCAAATTCTTGGGCTTAAGTGATTCACTTGCCTCAGCCTCCCGAGTAGCTGAGACTACAGGTGCCTGGCACAACCCCCAGCTATTTTTAGAGATGGAGTGTTGTTCTTGCTCAGGCTGGTCTTGAACTCATAAGCTCAAGCAATTCACCCTCCTAGGCCTCCCAGAGTGCGTGAGCCACCACACCTAGTGGGTAAAACATTTGATAGAAAAAATCCTCCAGTAGTTTCCTGAGAAAGTGTTTGTGGAAGGTTATTATTATTATATATTTTTAGGGTGCTCACATCTGAAAATGTCTTTTTTAAATCTCCTTCTTGTGTGTTAGTTTAGTGGGTAAAGGGTTCTAGGCTAGACATCATTTCCTTTCTCTGGATTCTTAGTCATTGCTCCATTGTCTTATGGCTTCTAGTTCAGAAGTCTAATATATTTTGATCCCCAAATTTGTGTGTAACTATTTTTGTCTTTCTAAAAACTTTGGGGATCATTTTTATCCATAGAGATACAATAGTTTACAAAGATAAGCTTTGATGTGGGTTTTGTTTCATTTTCTTTTGCTGTATACTCTGTAGAATTTTTCAGTTCAGAAACCCATGTTCTGGCTCGGCACCTGTGGCTCAAGTGGCTAAGGCGCCAGCCACGTACACCCAAGGTGGCGGGTTCAAATCCAGCCCGGGCCTGCCAAACAACAATGATGACTGCAACCAAAAAATAGCTGGGCATTGTGGTGGGCACCTGTGGTCCCAGCTACTCAGGAGGCTGAGGCAGGAGACTCGCTTGAGCCCATGAGTTGGAGGTTGCTGTGAGCTGCGATGCCATGGTACTCTACCCAGGGGGACAGCTTGAGGCTCCTGTCTCAAAAAAAAAAAAAAATAGAAAAAGAAACCCATGTTCTCATGCTTTCATTCTGGGAAATTTTTAAATTATATTTTCCATTAATTTACTGCTCTCCATTTCCTCTGTTCCACTGTCTGGAATTCCTATTAGTTAGATGTCAAACCACCTAATTTTGTTATATCTTCTCTACTAGTTTCAATCAATCTCTCTCTCAATATACTTTATAGGATATTTCCTCAACACTGTCTTGCAGCTCTTCTATTGCAATAATTTAATTTCTGACATCTTAATTTTTTTTTAAGTTTTTGGCTGGGGCTGGGTTTGAACCCGCCACCTCCGGTATATGGGACCGGCACCCTACTCCTTGGAGCCACAGGCACCGCCCAACATCTTATTTTCAATTTTCAACAACTCTTTACTTTCTCTAGCTATGTCCTTTTGTACCACTCTGTTCTTTCATGGATGAAATTTCTTCTTCTAACTACCTGAGCATGTTCATTTTAATTATGATAAAGCTTTTTCCCTTCTCTCTTTTAAAGTTTTCTTTGCTCCAGGCAGGGTTCTTGTTTCCTCTGTGTTCCTTGGTCTATTTGTTTATTTCAGTCTTCATCTTTCGTGTGAGAGCTTATTTCAAATATCTGGTGATCCTCAGCCATCTGTTCGTATTTTATAGTGAGCCTCAGAAAAGCTAATTGGATGCCTAGGGGTGGAGGGAGATGCCAGACTTATTGACTGATGGGGCCCTCAAATATCAGTACCTGTAGGTCATTTCTCTGGAGCTCATCAGTGTCCCTGGAAAGGAATCCTATCCAACCTCCTCCACAGGGAGTGCGGTCTGGCGGTCAGCATTCTGGGAGCTAAGCGGGGAGGACAGCAGAGGTAGAGTTCCACTCAGCTGTGCCCATGTCCCTGCCTCCAACGCCTGTCGAGTCCAACCTTTACAAAAATCTTGGGCAACTACCTGGCTATTTGAAGTGGAGGCAGAGGCTGGGGGTCTAATTCCTTCTTTTATAAACTTGTAAACAGTCCTGTCTTCGCCACACCTGCACCTTGGCCTTCAGAGGGTCCCTGTGTCTCCAATTTCCCAGCCTCCCTGAGATTACAAAGGGCTCCATCACGTGATGCTCCCCACACTCCTTAGCAGGCACTTCGCGTTGCTGAGGAAGCAGACACCAGAGCAGTTATCACTCCTCCATCTGCTTTCCCATCTTCCAACGTGTGACATCTCTTGTCCTCTATTCCTTTTGTCCTTAGGTATACACTTTCTCTCCCCTTACTCTAATGTTAGCTGGGTTTGGAAAGGAGTCAAGAGCCTGTGGCCACACCGGCATGTGTAATCAGGGTCTCCTTCCTTGTGTCTTTCCTGTGTGAGAGTATTTGGTGCCTCCACAGTAGGCTGGGAGGACAGGAATCAAGTCTTACTCTTTTTTTTTTTTTTTCGGTGTCCCTAATATCTAACATAGTGCCTGGTATACAATAGACAGACTCTAAATGTCTGCTGAGTAATTGGGTGAGCAAACTGGCCTCAGTCTCTGCATCTCTGAGGGGAGGGTTTGGAGCCATGGTGTCCAGATTGCGGTGCTCCCACCGGGAGAGTGGGGTGGTCCCCGGGGTCATAGCAGCTGTGCCATTCCTAGGAGAATGTAACCTTGGAGTGGCATCTCCAGAGCACCACCCTGCACGTCTTCTCACTTCTGTTTCAGGGAGCAGTGTGTGCTCAGCCCTGCCCACCAGGGACATTTGGCCAGAACTGCAGCCAGGACTGTCCTTGCCACCATGGAGGGCAATGTGACCATGTGACTGGACAGTGCCACTGTACAGCTGGATACATGGGGGACAGGTAAGGATGGTGTCAACTTATGTCCATGCTGTTCATGTTGCTTGTATTCACAGCAGCTTGCAGAGATCAGCCCACCAGCAAGCTCACTACTAGCCTTCCAGTTCCTTCCTCAGAAAACGTTCTGAGTCCTCTTGCCAGAGGAAGTCATCAGCTCATCCTTCCTGGCCTTAGCCTGCAGAGCTCACCCCCTCTTCCAGCTGCTCTAGCCTTGAATTTGCATTGGCTTAATTAATTGGGGGTAGGAGGTGGACACTTACCGCCCTTTCTCTACTCTCTGCGCCATCGGAGGGAGGCGATGGCACAGGTAATCCAAAGAAGCTGGGACTGAAAATCAGTTCGCACATTTTGTACAATTTCTTCTAGAAGTGGATTTTTATTCCTAATAATAATAATTTGAGTTCCACCAAAAGGATACTGACATCAGTCTGCGTCCTCTGCAGGCCTGTGGCCTGAGAGCAGAGTGAACAAGGGCACCAGTGTCCTGGAGTGAAACCAACCTTGTAGAGTGGATAATCCACAAAACACGTACCTGAGGAATTGCCATAAGTGCACATGCCACGCCGGGAGGAGGATACCATGATGACAGGGGAGGTGCACTGGGAGAGGGAGAGACAAGGAACAGCCTCTGTGACGGTGAGCGGATTCGGAGCTGGAGGAAGATTTGCCCGTAAACCGAGGGCAGGCCTCCTGCCTCTCACTCTCGACTGCATGGTTCTTGTTGAGCAGAGAGGGGCACGTTAAAGAAGAAGTTATCCTCTGTGTGACTTGTACAGATGTAAAAGAGAAAAGGGAAAAATATAAAAAAGAAAGAGGAGGCTCTCACACCCCTTTACTGGTTCCATAGGGATCCACGTTTCATTTCTGGCCCCTGGAGTTTACTCATCCCAGACAAAATGAGGTGAGAAGAATATTTGTCCATCATTCTCTGCCTGGGTGATATCAGGAAGCAGGGAGGGAGGCTGAGAAGCCAGTGAGTCCTTCTGGTGATGACCAGCATAATTGGGGTGCCCCCAGCTCTTGTTGGAATCAGCCGCAAATCCTTAACAACTTCTAGAAAAGAGAATGTCCATTGGCCTTGAACTTGTTTACCTCTAGCCTGATCTTTTAACCCAGTGGTTCTCAACCTTCCTAATGCCACAACCTTTTAATACAGTTTCTGTGGGTTGCGACCCACAGGTCAAGAACTGCTGTTTTAACCAGATCTGGTCTCTTTGGGAGCCAACATTTATCTGCGTGAACTTCCCTGCCATAGACCGTGGGGTGCGGCACCTGAGGACCCAGAGGGAGGACTAAAGCACTTAGCCTGCCTTCTCACCCTCACCATCACCCGCAAATAAGGAAGTGCTCAGGATCTCAGGATGAGCCTCCCAAACCAGGACAGGACACCTTTGCTTCAGTCCATTCTCTCATCAGGATTCTGACCAGCTGAACTCAACACCAGCAAACGATACATCACTGGTGCCCCCAATTTTCACTGCCAAGGCATACCAGGTGGAGAAATAATCCAAAATTTCTCTTCTTATTGGAGCCTGGCCCGTGATCCTGGGGCAGAGAAAAAAAAAACTCCAAAGCTAAAAGGCCCTCCTCTATCTAGCTTCACCGGGCAACGACAGGAGAGTTCAATAGGAGGCTGGGTAACATTTGGGTTTCTCACCTAAACGGGTTGCCTGGTGTTTAATATTTTGTAAAATTGCCTCCATTAATTTTGTAGGCGACAGCTGCATTAACCCACCCCAAATCATCACAAGCATATTAAAGTTGAGTGAGTGTAATAACGCAGGCCTCTCTGGATAGGCAGAGTCCTGTGCAAATTAAACACGAAACGTAACGAGGGCTTTGCAGCTCATTTTGTAATTTAATTGAGCAATGTGTCTGGTTGTTAATGGTAATATCGGACACATTAGATTGATATGTTGCAAAGGAAGGATGTTTAAGTAGAAAACTAATTCCTGCTGTGATTACCCTTCTGTTCCACAGGCCCCGTTATTAGCATGCTTTGTGTAAAATTCATTAGCAGTCGATGCTTGATCTCTAAATAAATAAGTTGTTTAAATTGTGAGTGGGAAAAAAAAGAAGAGGCTGATTATGTAAATGGATTATATTGTCAATATTTCATTTCCAGATTCCTTGTCTGGGTCTGTGGGTCCAGTTGCCCCCAAAATATAGCAGGGTAGGGAAGTGCCCTTCAGAGGAGTTCAGGGTTCAGGGCTCTACCCAGCCCTGCTAGGCTGGAGGGAGCAGGAGTGTTTGAGTGAAAGGGAGGAGGCATCAGGAGGTGTCCCTGGTTTGAGTTTCATCTCCCAACATTTGAGACATTCAAGGCAAAAAAAGTTGAGTGACCTAGAGAAATTCATTCATGGGCTGAACAGGGGCTGGCAGTTCAGATAGAGATGATCCAGGTCTTCAGCTAAAGAGTTGAAGACTAAAGTCCTTTCCTTCTATTTCAGTTTCCCTTCTTCCCTCTCCCATCCCACTTCTCCTCTCCTGTCTTCTACCTTCTTTTCCTTCCGCAGACATCCTCTTTCTTTCCTCTCTTCCCCTCTGTGAGGCCTCAGATTGGTTAACATGTGGCAAGATTTGCAAGAAGACAATCTGGGAAAGTCAGGTGCTGGTGGCTCACGCCTGTAATCCTAGCACTACGGAGGCCAAGGCGGGTGGATTGCCTGAGCTCAGGAGTTTGAGACCAGCCTGAGCAAGAGTGAGACCTTGTCTCTACTAAAAATAGAAAAACTAGCCAGGCATTGTGGTGGGCTCCTGAAGTTCCAGCTACTTGGGAGACTGAGGCAACAGGCTGGCTTAAGCCCTAGAATGTGAGGTTGCTGTGAGCTATGACACCATGGCACTTTACCCAGGATGACAAACGGAGACTCTGTCTCAAAAAAAAGATGATCTGGGGTCATCTTAGCCACTTTCAGGCTATGTGAGCTTGGACAGTCACCACACTTGTCTCAGCCTCCTCAACTCCAGAGTGAGGGTGATGAGAGTCATGAGAGGATCTGCTACTGCAGGGGCTGGGGACAGGCTGCAGAACCCGAGCAGCTGACAGGCCCTCTCTGTATGGGGCCCAGGGGTACCCCACCATCACCCCACTGCCTCTCCATTTTTCCAGATCACTCTTTTGCCACAGTGGCTCTGACAGGGGAGAGCTGGTGGCATTTCCTTGTGAAGAAAGCTCTCCAGGCTAGTCCCCAGTCACCCAGTCACTGTCCTCATCTCCCTGTCTTTGTGGGCACAGAGCAAAAAAAAAAAAAAAAAAAAAAGAAAAGATAAACCAGAGAAGAGAGACAGGGACACCCTCGTATAGGGGCCCTCAAACTTTTTAAACAGGGGCCAGTTCACTGTCCCTCAGACTGTTGGAGGGCCGGACTGTGGGCCCCAGGATGAGTTGGCTGCTAAGCAGGACAGGCAGTGGCGACAAAAACACCCAGCGGGCCGGATAAATGTCCTAAGCGGGCTGCATGTGGCCCGCGGGCTGTAGTTTGAAGACGCCTGCCCTAGTCCCTTGACACACAGGCTGCTTCCATCCTCCACACACTGCTGGACCTGCCACATACTGGGGCCTGGCCACTCACCTGCACAATGACAGATGAGCTCACCCAGACCTGGGCTTTCCCTGCCCTGTCTATAGACAGAGCCTGGTTCCATCCCATGATTCTCCAAGATATATGGTAAAGAAGTTAGGGCTGTATTGTATTTTTTTAAAAATAGCTTTTTTTCTGGACAGAGTCTCACTATGTCCCTCTTGGTGGAGTGCTGTGACATCACAGCTCACAGCAACCTCAAACTCTTGGGCTTAAGAGATTCTCTTGCCTCAGCCTCCTTGTAACTGGGACTACAGGCGCCCACCACAACACCCGGCTATTTTTTGTTGCAGTTGTCATTGTTGTTTTAGCAGGCCTAGGGACGAATTCAAACCCGCCAACCTTGGTGTACGTGGCTGGCGCCGTAACCACTGTGCTAGGGGTGCTGAGCTAAAAACAGCTTTTGTTACTTCCCCCTTCCCCTGATTATTGGAGAAGACATATAGAAAACTTGGAAAATGAAAATTATTATAATTGAAACTCTTATAATTCCTCAGGTCTTACAATTCCGCATTTTAGAATTCTTCCCTTTGAGCTTTTTCATGGCAGAATTTAAAGTCAGAAGGTCAGACCTTCTGTTGTAAGAACTGTAGAAAACAGTGTTAAATGAGGAATAGTAATAATTACTTATGTTCTTTTTTTTTTTTTAATGTGAGACAGAGTATCACTTTGTTGCCTTCGGTAGAATGCTGTAGCATCACAGCTCACAGCAATCTCCAGCTCTTGGGCTAGGGCGATTCTCTTGCCTCAGCCTCCTGAGTTGTTGGGACTACAGGCGCCCACCACAACGCCTGGCTATTTTTGTTGCAGTTGCCACTGCTGTTTTAGCTGGCCAGGGGCTGGGTTTGAACCCGTCACCCTCAGTATATGGGGCCGGCGCCCTACCCACTGCTCCAGAGGCGCCGCCCATTACTTATGTTCTTATTGAGCCCTAACCACAGGCTGGTTGCCTTTCTAAACATTTACCCCTATTATCTCATTTATCCTGAAACCAACTGATGAGGTTAAGTTGTGATCACCCCGTTTTATGAAGAGAAAGCAGACGTCAGTGCGTTAGATCAGTCCCCCTTGTCTGCACCATTAAAGCAGTGCTGGCTGGGGCATGGATGATCTAGAGCCCTAATGGCTAGGGGCCATTTCCATTTGTCTTTGGGGTACAGGAGTCATCCCCCACTTTTAATCCTGTCCCCCCAAGTTAACCCCTTAATGGGCAAATCCAGTTACTGTGACAGTGATTTGCATCCCCCAGGAAACAGGCCAGGCCTGGCGTAGGGGTGTTGAGGCACATTCAGGAAGCCAGGCAGTCAGCAGTGGGGTCGCAGAGGATCCACACCATTGGTTATGAGGTCACATAATTATCCTTATGCTGCAAGCTGCAAGCACCAGCTCAAGCATGTACAGGGTACAAAGCACCCAAGTCTTCCTCCTTGGCAGCTCACTGGCTGATGGGAGAGACTCAGCTCCTGCTTGAGGAGACCCAGACCCCCAGTCCAAGAAAGGGAAAATAGCCCCTGTCCCTGTCATGGGGGATCCCCCTGTCTGATGAAAGAGAATGCCTCTTCTACTCGTGGGAAATTCCATGCTAGGGGAGGAGACACAGCACCCAGTGTGAGAATAAAGACTGTACATCTGCCCAAAAGATGGAAAAAAACAGAGACAAGGTATAGAAATGATATTACCCTATTCATCAAATCTAAGATGCCATGATTGTAAGATGCGTCATTATTTTACATACTGCTAAGAATCAAAAACACTGGTATTTAAACTATGATATGCCATCAATTAAAAGTCCTATCTAAAGGTTGAGTATGGTGGCTCACACCTATAATCCTAGCACTCTGGGAGGCCAAGGCAGGTGGATTGCTTGAGCTGAGAAGTTTACAACCAGCTTGAGCAAAAGCGAGACCCTGTCTCTACTAAAAATAGAAAAACTAGCACAGCTAAGGACACAACAATCAAAGCAAATAGACAACCTTCAGAATGGGAAAAGGTATTTGCATATTGCAAATCTGACAAAGGCTTGATAACTAGGATCTATAGAGAACTACGATTAATCAACAACAAAAAAGAGCTAATAATCCCATCTATCACTGGGCAAGAGATATGAACAGAACCTTCTCTGAGGAAGATAGACCAATAGCCAACAAACATATGAAAAAAATGCTCATTGTTCCTGATCATCAGAGAAATGCAAATCAAAACCACCCCTGAGACATCATCTGACCCCAGTAAGAGTAGCCCACAACACAAAATCCCAAAGTGCAGATGCTGGCACAGATGAAGAAAGATGGGAACATTTTTACACTGTTGGAGGGACTGCAAACTAATACAGCCTATTTGGAAAGAAGTATGGAGAATCCTCAAAGAACTCAAATTAGATCTCCATTTAACCCCACAATCCTACTACCAGGCATCTACCCAGAAGAAAAAAAAATCATTTTATCATAATATGTATATATGTGCTAGATTGTTTATCACAGCTCAATTTATAGTTGCCAAGATGTGGAAAGAACCTAAATGCCCATCAACTCAGGAATGGTTTAACAAACCATGCATTTCATGGAATACTATTCATCCATAAAAAGATGGTAACTTCACATGTTTTGTATTAACCTGGATAGAGTTGAAACACATTCTTCTCAGTAAAGTATCACAAGAATGGAAAAGCAAGTATCCAATGTACTCAATACTAATATGAAGCCAGCAGATGATCTAATTCATACCCACGTAGGAGAAAAACTCATTTCAATTCAAGTTGGGGCGAGGGGGAATGAGGGAAGTGGAGAGGGGAGGTGGGGCTTGGGGGTGCTCCTACAGAATGGGCACAATGTACGGGTGTATGGCACACATTTTGGGTGCAGTACATAACTACAACAAGGACTCTACCTAACAAACTCAAATATTGTGACTTGGTTGTACCTTCACATTAATGTGAAATAAGGAAGGGATGGAAGGGAAGAAGAAGGAAGGAGAAAGAAGGAAAAAGAGAGAGAAAGAAAGGGAAGAGGAAAGGAAAAGGAAAGGACTAGCTGGGCATTGTGGTGGGTGCTTATAGTCCCAGCTATATAGGTGGCTGAGGCAAGAGAATCATTTCAGCCCAAGAGTTTGAGGTTGCTGTGAGCTATGACACCATAGCACTCTACAAGGGTGACAAAGTGAGACTCTTACCTCCAAAAAAAAAAGTCTCATCTAATTTCAGGGATGTTAAAATTTTTTTAACATCATACGCAGTTTCAGTTTGGGAAGATGAAAAAGTTTTGGGGATGGATGGTGGTGATAGTTGCACAACAATATAAGTATACTTAATGCCATTGAACTGTACACTTAATGGTTGAAATGGTAAATTTTGCATTGCATACTTGTATTGTCTTACTCTGCTCCTGCTATAGTAGCAGACAGCTGAGACTGGGTAATTTATAAGCAACAGAAATTCATTTTTACAGTTCTAGAGGCTGGAAAGTCCAAGATCAGGCACCAGCAGGTTCAATGTCTAATGAGACCCCAGTCTCTGCTTCCAAAGTAGTCCCTTGAGTGGTGCTGTGTCCTCACATCATGAAAGGGACAGAAGGGCAAAAAAGAGGACCTAGCTAGCTCCCTCTAGCCCTTTTGTAAGAGCACTAACCCATTCATGAAGGCAGAACCCCCATGACCTAATTCCTTCCCAAAGACCACACTTTTTATTTATTTATTTATTTTTGGAGACAGAGTCACACTATGTCACCCTCGGTAGATTGCAGGCATGTCACAGCTCACAGCAACCTCAAACTCTTGGGCTTAAGTCAGCAGTTCTCAACCTGTGGGTCATGACCCACAGGAACTATAGTAAAGGGTTATAGCATTAGGAAGGTTGAGAACCACTGGCTTAAGTAATTCTCTTGCCTCAGGCTCCCAAGTAGCTGGGACTACAGGTGCCCGCCACAATGCCTGGCTATTTATTGTTGTTGTTGTTGCGGTTGTCATTGTTATTTAGCAGGCCCAGGGTGGGTTTGAACCCACCAGCCTCAGTGTATGTGGCTGGCACCATAACCACAGGTGCCAAGCCAAGGTCACGCTTCTTGACAGTGTTGCATTAAGTTTGGACATTAGTTTTGGAGGGGACACCAACTATCAAGCACGCATTTTACCACAATTTTTAAAAGTGAAAAGAAAACACAAGACTTGGAATCAATGAAGTATGATAGTACCAATTCACTGCTGGGGAACCTGATCAGGGCAAACTAAACCACAGAATACTTCCCAGAGGTGGAGAGAGAAGAGGGGAGGAGGCTGTGAGGAGAGTGGAACACACCAGGCCAAATCCTGGAGGAAGGAAGGGCTGCAAGCTGGATGGCTCCCAAAGGAGGGATCCCAACCCACAGCCTCGACTCTGCTATCCCACAGGTGCCAAGAGGAGTGCCCCTTCGGGACCTTCGGCTTCCAGTGCTCACAGCGCTGTGACTGCCACAACGGAGGTCAGTGTTCGCCCACCACGGGTGCCTGTGTGTGCGAGCCTGGCTACAAGGGTCCCCGCTGCCAGGAGCGGCTATGCCCCGAAGGCCTGCATGGCCCAGGCTGCACCCTGCCCTGCCCCTGTGATGCCGACAACACCATCAGGTATGAACTGGAGACAGGTAAGCCCAGGGACGAGGACAGTGAGGGCTCTGGGGAAGGGGGGATTCCTTGGGCCATGGACCCCACCTCCAAGATAGCCATCCAGACAGGGTGAGGAAAGAGCTGGGACCTTGACAATCGGCTCTGATAATCACTTTGATGAACAGCAGTGGTCACCGAGCCTGCATAGTCAAAGTCGGAATCAGAACCCAGATCCCCTGCCTCTGTCAAGTGAACCCAGCTGCTTACATTTCAAACTGGCCAGATCTGAGACTCCACACACAGGAGCAGGGAGGGAGCTTGGTGACCCTTCAGGTATCAGAGTAGGGATGGATGGGACTGCATGATCGTAGGGCCTGTGATGGCAGGGTTTAGGTGCTACAATCTCTGGGTGCATGGTCCTGAGAACATCTCCTCTTCACACACATAGCATCTAGCTAGAGACAGGGCCACTAGGGCAGGAGCAGGGTGAGCCACAGAACGTCAGTACCAAAAATTAACATGACCTAGTTGGACATGGTGGTGGGCACCAGTAGTCCCAGCTACTCAAGAGGCTGAGGCAAGAGGATTGATTGAGCCCAGGAGTTCAAGGCTGCAGTGAACTATGATCAGACCACTTCACTCCAGCCTGGTGAAAGAGTAAGACTCCATCTCTAAATTCTGAAAAATCAGTATGGCCCTTCCAGGGGGACTAAGGCCTAAAGAGGGTCATCCTGTAGGCTCTGGCAAGGGTAGGGGAGCAGGAGGAACAGAGGGCAGCCCTTCATCAGGGCCTGGGCTTAGGGCCAGCCTCTCTGTGTCCTCTCTCCTGCATGGCTTGGGAACACATGGTAGAAGCTATCCCAGGCTGCCCCTTGGGGCTCCCTTCCCTTCCTGCTTCACACAGCAGCCTGCACTGCCCTCCCCTCTGGTAAGAAATGAGGCTGCTGGCCCCAGATACATGTCCCCACAGCCCCTCACCAAGGCTGCCTCTTAACCTGGGTGGTGAGGGGTGGCCAGAGCCCCCTTTCTCCCCAAGGCCTGCAGACAGCTCAGGGCAGGCTGGCTGCTCTAGCCATGGGCGCTGCTGCCATTTGCAGGGCAGACAGGGAACACTTCTGCTTTGCAGCTCTGTTGCTGGGATAGGCAGGACTTAGCCTCAGCCCCTTTTCATTTCCACCTTTTGATTTTTCACAAATCAGTCTGGAGCCTCCAGTCATTGCAAGCAGAGGCATCTCAGCAAGTGTGTGAGTCGATAATGGTCCTCAGTCCGTATTGCTGACTGGCTGGGTGATGCCAGGCAAAGGCAGAGGGGTCAGAGAGGTCCCTGCAGCCAGCAAAGCTGGCCTGTCTGTGACCTAAACATGCATTAGTTCTGTGATTCATTCAACAAACACTGAGCGCCTGCCCAGTTGGGCCATGAAGAGGAAACACACTGAACACCTTCTACCATAGTTCTTCAAAGACAGGACAACACTGGTAGTGAGGCATAGCTTTATTTTATGTACTACTAAAAAGGGAAAATTCTATTAACTGAATCATGATGCACCATTGATTGTATAACTCACCCAGTAGCAGAGACGTGAAAATGTGATGGAAAAGTACATATTAGAATAAATGAAATAAACATAGCTGGCCCTGCTGGGTCCAACGTGTACCTAAATAACAGTGACCCAGGACTGTGTGCAGGAAACAGGAGGCTGCTATGCTAGTTAGGGAAGGCTCCCTGGAGGAGGTAGCATCTGGGCTAGGTCTGGAGGCTTAGTGATTGCTCCAAGGCTCTAAACACAGGTGGCTCACACCTGCAATCCTAGCACTCTGGGAGACCAAGACAAGTAGATCGCTTGAGCTTACAAGTTCAAGACCAGCTTGAGCAAGAGTGAGACCCTGTCTCTAAAACTAGCCAGACATTGTAGCATGTACTACTACTTGGGAGGCTGAGGCAAGAGGATTGATCGAGCCCGAAAATTGAGGTTGCTGTGAGCTATGACAGCACAGCACTCTACCAAGGGCGACAAATTGAGACTCTGTCTTTTAAAATAAATAAATAAAAACAAATACAGGGGTCCCACGTGGCTGACCAGGCGACCGAGCAGCTGGCTCATACTCTTCCGTGAGTGCAAGGCGGCACCAATGTCCCTCACTCCTGCAGGGAAGGGACTTTCTCAGGGACAGGAAGCAAGGCTGTTGCTGGGGTCCAATGCAGGGAGAATCCCTGCCCCAGAGAGCCACCCAAGCCCCAGATTAAAGAGCTATTGTTTTCCTGCCGTGCCTGAGCAACTGGGCCCTGCATTATTTATCCTTCCTCTGAAGGAGTCCTCAATGCATTATTAATCTGGAAGGACTCCCTCTTCTCTGTCGCTAATCTCAGCCCATCCAATATTGATGATTATTTGTTTTACTGTCTTTAACGTGTGTCATGTTTCAGGGACTGGAAGGCAATAGTGGTTCTTAGCAGTGGGGGCTCTTAGTGTGCCTGCCTGTCTTCCCCCCAACCCCGGCTGGACTCCTCAGAATCAGCATCACCAACTCCTCACGGGGAGCTTTGTCGCGAGCCTGGGCTCCTTGAGGGCACATGCAGCCCGGCTTGTTCATCCTGTAGCTTCTAGCCTCAGCATCTCATGGTGCCAGGCACAGAGTAGGCCTTCAGTAAGAAGAGAACCTGAATTCATCTTAAATAGCCCATCCCTCTAGGTGGTTCTGCCCATTAGCCGATGTCTGCCCTACTTTTTCTTCTTTGTTAATGTTTCACTGCTTTCTGTTGGCACACTGCCCCAGTGACTGAGCACCTGACATTCACAAAGGGTTTTGTTCAGTCTCGCTCAGGGTTTCTCAGCCTTGGCACCATTAACAATTTGGGCCGCATAATTCTTTGTTACGGATGGCTGTCCTGTGCATTGTAGAATGTTAGCGGTATCCGTGGCCTCTACTCACTAGATGCCGTTTAATAGCCCCCCTCCCTGCCCAAATTCCAACAACCCAAAATGTTTCCAGACATTGCCAGATGTCCCAGGCTGGGGAAGGAGGAAGCAAAATTGCATGAGGTTGAGAGCCTGTGGTCTGACTGAACTCTCACGCTACCCTTGACTTTGTTCTTAGGGACACAGAAAATTGCTCTCTTCTTCCATATGGACACAGGTCAGCCCTTCCCCTCCCACGAGGCTTTGTCTATTATAGAGCCTTCTTTTGAGATCTGAGAAAAGCAAAGGAATGACTCTGTGACTGACTTCTAACCTCAAGACAGTCAAGAGGCAGATACTGGGTGAGGGTTGGGACCCCTGAATCCTGGCCACAGACCCCCCTCAAATGTCCTGCTAAATGCACTTCTCTCCTCTATGCTTCACTTTCCCAGTCTGCCCATCATCTTTCTCAACCCAGTAAGGGAAAAGTTCTCTTGTGGTCTTTGAAAGTGAAACTTACATCCAACTCTGAGAGATTGCACGTGGGATCCCTAGAAGCCTGGCCTCCCTTCCCCCCTGGCTTCTGCAGAGCTTACAATAAGCACCCCATCACGGCAGCTTATGAGATCTTGAGCGTCTTTCCTAGGGAGAAAAAGTATCCTCACCCCCAACCAAAAAAAAAGCCCTACTTGCCTAGCCCTAGCCTCTGTCTGCTGAGTCCTCTCTGGTGAGGCTGCTCCCCAGAGTTGAATCCATGCCCTGGGAAAGATGGCGCAGCTGGTGAGGCTCCCCAACGTCTCACCCCCTCACAACGTTTCATTCCCCTGTGTGTGCAGCACACACAAAGAAACCATCCTCCCTCCTGGAGGATAACCTTGAGAAAGAGCACCTGTGTGTCAGCCCTCTTAAGTGTCCCCTCCACAATTGAATTGTCATAGACTAATTCCAGCAGCCATGATCGTGTGTTACTTTTGAAAGATTTGATTTAGCCAACAGATGCAGCACTGGAGAAATCTTATAGCAGCCAAAAGAAAGGCAGAAAAATCAGCTCCGAAAAGATACTTGTATTGTTCAGCTCCTATTAACTTGTGATTAATCTATGTCTGGGTGAAATAGGAGAAAAGGGAAAACAAAAAACACAGAGAACTGAACTAAACACCAGTGATCTTGACTTTTACCAGAGTCTAAATAGCAGTCCCTGGCCCACCATGTGACCCTAAGGAAAGGGGACACCCCCAGGGAGAAAGGGATGCCTGGGACAGGAGGATGTGCAGGGCCCACTGCTGAGGGACAAAGGTTCTGAACATGGTGATGGCAGTTCTCAGTTATAATCACTGTCAGCCATCATTCCCCACCTCTTTTCAAAGGGACTTTTGGAGTTTTTGTAATATAAGACAAAATCAAATTAAGAAAATATATATCCTGCTTTTTGAAATAGAATTATAAAAGAACAGAACAATTTCAGATTTAGTTTGAGACTTCTGGTTCTGAGAGTAAAAAGTAAAATTAGATGAGCTGGTCATGGTGGCTCATCTCTGTAATCCTAGCAATCTGGGAGGCTGAGGCAGGTGGATTGCCTGAGCTCACAGGTTCGAGACCAGCCTAAGCAAGAGCAAGACCCCTGTCCCTAAAAATAGCCAGGCACCTATAGTTTCAGCTACTCAGGAGGCTGAGGCAAGGAGGATTTCTTGACCCCAGGAGTTTGAGGTTACTGTGAGCTGTGACGCCATGGTACTCTACCAATGGCAATAAAGTTAGACTTGGTCTCAAAAATAAATAAAATAAAATAAGATAAGATAAAGATAAACATAGCCGGGTATTGTGTTGGATACCTGTAATCCCAGCCACTTGGGAAGCTAAGGCAAGAGAATCACTTGAGCCCAAGAGCTTGAGGTTGCTGTGAGCTGTGATGCCACAGCACTCTACCAAGGGCAACAAAGTGAGATTCTGTCTTAAAAAAAGGAGGGGGGGCAGCTCAGTGCCTGTGGCTCAAGCAGCTAAGGCGCCAGCCACATACACCTGAGCTGGAGGGTTCGAATCCAGCCCGGGCCCGGCAAACAACAATGACGGCTGCAACCAAAAAATAGCCGAGCATTGTGGCGGATGCCTATAATCCCAGCTACT